AGAGAGAGAGAGAGAGAGAGAGAGAGAGAGAGAGAGAGAAAGAGAGAGCACTCCAGCGTGCCTGAGGGGCTCCAGCTAGGAGCCATGACCCTCTATTAGAGTGCGATCCCTGTTGTTCTTTCCTCTTAGCTTTTTGGCTATTCTGGAGACGGAATCCGTGGCTTGATGTACAGATAGAATGAGGTGAAGCAATCAAATCAGCGAGGTTTCCTGAGTTACAAAGAGAAACGGGCTCTGCAGCAAGTCTACAGGATACATGTCCACATTAGGAGGAGGCAGGCTGCGGGTGTGGCCCGCTGATACAGGTAATATTTAGGGCCTTCCCTCCTTTATCGACATGCAGAGCTCTGTTGTTCATTGTAAGGGCTAATGGATGGTGTGGTAGCACATGTCTGTAGTCCCAGCACTTGAGAGGAGGAGGCAAGAAGATCAGGAGTTCAAGGTCATCCTCAGCTACGCAGTAAGTTAGAGGCCCAGCCTAAACTACATGAGACCTTGTCTCAAAGAAATAAGAAAACCAAACCAAACCAAAAGATCTTATGATGTTGCTCAGGCTGGCCTCCAATTTCTGGTGTCTCTGCCCAAGCCTCAGGACCTACAGGCCCAGCTGTAATTTGTATTTTCAACAGAGAGCTTCTGAAGACAGTCACCTCTTTCAGCTGAGTGGTTGTGGTCTGCAGAGTGAGGAGGGTGGACCAGGCACAAATCCACTGCAGTCTAGGAACCTCAACAGGCTGAGCCCCAGGTACCACAGGGTTAACAGAGGAGGCTCTTTGCAAGGATGGCCACAAAGGCACTTTCCACTGCAGCTCTGTGCTCTAGGGACAGCCCTGGAGGGATGCCACACAGCATCTTCTGTGCTACTGAGGAGCCCAGCCAGATGCCAATGGCCAGGAGTGTGCGGTGATGACCCCGGCTTGCCCAGCTCTGTCTCTGACAGCAACTGCTGAATCTTGGAGGGAAGGAGGTCTCAGAAACTGAGGCTCAGACATAGGCTTTATTTTTGTCTACATTATCACTGAAGAGAGAGGCTCATGTTCTCTGAAAGATTCTTCCATTTACACTCTTTTCAAACATAAATGATTGCAGCCTCCGATGTCTTTTAAATTTTATTTTATTAAAATTTAAATTAGCCGGGTGTGATGACGCACACCTTTAATCCCAGTACTGGGAGGCAGAGGCAGGTGGACCTCTGTGAGTTCTTTAGCTGGCTTGGTCTAGAGTTCCAGGACAGCTGGGGCTACAGGAAGACGCTGTCTCAAAAACACGAAAAAAAAAACACCCACAAAAAAAAAGAAAAACAAAAAGAAATTGTATTTATAGAGTAAAATTCATTTATTATAATAAATTTATTAAATTAAAATGTATTTATAACAGTTTTTAGTTCACAACAAAACTGGCAGCACCAAGCGTTCCCAGGCACCTCGGGTCCCCACAATCCCCCCACTGTCAGCATCCCACCCCACAGTGGCACAACACATCCCTCAGCCAAGCCCCGGCTAGCTGAGGCTCCTTGCGGGTGCTAACACACGCATCCCGCGGGGCTCCGCTGCGGAGGCGGACAGGACCCAGGCCCTCCGCTCTGTCCTCCAGCGCCTCGGGGGCCGGCTGTCGTTCGTGTCACACAGTGGACAGCTGTCACGCCATCTCCAATGAAGCCCGCGTGAGATCCTCCGTGGGTTGAGGCTGGAACTTCAAGGAAGGTTGCCTCTTGGAATTGGCTGTGCTAAAAAACATGCAGTGTACTTGGCATGCTTTTACTTGCTATTATCTTTCTGCCTGTCACTGTATCATGGACTTTCAGGGGCCCAGAAAGCACCTGGTGTCCTTG